TCGGCATGTGACGGCCGAAAAAAATTTTTACCGTTATCGCGGTAATCTCGTTTTTCGGTAAATTCATCTTACCGTTACCGTGGTAATCGAATTTTTCGGTAAATTCATCGTACCGTTACCGCGGTAAAAAGGCTTTTACCGTTACCGCCGGTAAATTACCGGTTATCGCACATCCTTAATGGTGATATAGATATGGAATTAAAAGGTTTTAATGAAGGAAAAAAATCAGCTTCATCTCTTCACAAAATAACTAGATAGGTTTACAAGAGAGACATGTACCATTTTCAATGGTCTAACCGCCAAAGCTAGACTTGATCGAATTTTGAGTTTGATTTCAATTAAACATGATTTTTAATTTCAGTTTTTGATGCTGATGCGAAAAAATATAGTTTCAAAAGTTAAAAGTAACTCTGAACGAAAAACGTTGAGCTTTTTGAAAACTAACTGCTTTTCTAAAAAATGGGTCACGTTTTCGAATTTTTCGACTCTAAATAACTTTTTTCAAAAGTTAAAAAGCTCTTTTTCTTACTAAGGTCACCGCGCTCCATCCAACCATCTATATTTAACCAAGAAAATATGTTTACTGTCAGTTCGAATTTCCGGCACCTTACATACCAAAAATTCTTTATATTATTTAATTTATTTCTCTAAAACTGAAGAAAGCAGCGATCTTATTTTAACGTCTACTGCAGACACTCACATATATTCCAAAGTCCTCCTCTTTTTCGCATAAACAAATCACTAACACCATGCAGGGACGGGTCTACAGAATTTTTCTGCTGGTGGCGGAATTGGAAAAAACAGTAAGTGGTGGAAACTTCGCATTTGAGACTCACAGACTTTGGAAGGCGTAATGACGGTCCTCTCCTTCTTCATTAATCTAATTACTGCTCTACCAAAGATACAATAAAACCAGATCTCGATAGTTCTATTCCGCTCTCTAGTAAGAGGAAAATTCATACAACCAAAGACACAGAAATGTAGCTTCGCTATAAGCTGAAGGTCAAGGCTTTATGACACAAATGAGACTCCAATAAACTATGTAAAATAAGTTGGTCTTCTGCAACTACAGAACGGCTTGTCTATCCGGATGCAATATTATATTGAACGAAAACCATTTTCATATGACTTAGGCCCTATTAGGCATGGACCAGTATCAGTATACTGAATACTGATGAATACTGACAATAGAAAAAAACTTTTTAATTCCAAATCTATATCGCCACAAGGTGTTGGTCGTTTTTAATCATGCTCCAATAGATCAAAATATCATCTGTTCTTTTCAGCACACATCTTACAGCGTGAATATGACCCTAGTCGATCGGGGAATGTTCATAGGTAGTCAACATAGATTTATTCTTATTTTTTAGACTTTTCTTTTGGAAAGTCACTCGAATATAGGAACGCAGACATTCGCGAATACAGATCTGGAATCTTCTGTTTGTGAGCACGTTCGTGAAAAAACATTCATATTCACTGAAATAGTTTCAGAATTTTCATGCAAGATAATCGTCCTTATCAGGAACTAATGAAAGAAAGTATTGCTTGCTTTAAGTTATCCATCACAACTAAATAACAGTGTTATCTTTCCTCTCTTCTATGTTTGCCTATGTTTTGTTATTTCTATCAGACAATTGCAGCATTGGATGAATCAGAATATGTGTTTCAAAATTGAAAAGCTTTTCCACTTGATTTTTGCATTAGCGGCGCCTTACTTGATCCTGAACAATACTTTGTAACATATTTCTGTGAAGTAATCCATATAATTCATCTGCCTCTTCAACGATAGAACCTACGGAGTAGTTTTTGAGACAGCACCGAAAATTCAACCTTTCACAAGCATAGTGCGAGCGCACTGCGAAAGTACAACAAAAATTGTTCTAAAACTGTTCATTTATTAAAACAAATTTATTTCCGTTTTATAGAATATTTTTTCTTCACTCTGCTGCACCGAAACAAACATAGGTTTATGCAGGTTTTCTAAGACAGAAAACAAACAATGACAAGAGAAAAACTGCCGGAAAGACCGAAATACATGAAGACAATCACTTCGCCGTCATATCTTCACCCAAAACAAGCAAAGGTAGAAAATAAATCCTACTATAAAATATATATAGACTCAAAACTAACAAATCAACAAAGTGTTTCAAACCAACAGAAAGCCGCTGGTTCACAGTTCCATCGACTCAGTGGTTCATGAAAACTCATCACAACTATCACCCAACTCCCCTACTACGTTTTCCCGCAGCTCAAAACTCAAACATCTGTTCAAGCCTCGATGTGACCATAGCATGACCCATGTGGCTGATCGTGTACCTAACGGATGACACATACAATGGCCTAATTCAAATACTCTCCAATACATACGCCCCCCCCAAAAAAAGCGACAAATCCGTCCCGAAACCTAATCGTCCCCCGCAATAGCACCCGCAATACAACGTATCTAATGAATAGTTCATACAATAACTTTCTTCAAATATTTCGTAGCTCGTCCAACTAAACCAAACCATGGGCTAAAACACTGATGCGAACATTCCCCAAAACAATGTGACTCATCACGCAGCTCATGAACGTTTCACATAATCAGTTCATTCAAACACTTCGCATTATCGAACTTCATTAGTCAAAGATGAGTTCACAAATAGATGCATACATCAGCACGAACAATGTCATTCATCACGTAGCTAATGAATGATTCACAACACGATTCTATTCACATATTTCGCATTATCGAACTTCATTAGTCAAAGATGAGTACACAAATAGATGGATACATCAGCACGAACAATGTCAGTGATCATATAGCTGTCGTATGACAGATACAAGGAACACCAACACGATTCTATTCACATATTTCGCATTATCGAACTTCATTAGTCAAAGATGAGTACACAAATAGATGGATACATCAGCACGAACAATGTCAGTGATCATATAGCTGTCGTATGACAGATACAACCAAGATTCTATTCACAAATTTCGCATTATCGAACTTCATTAGTCAAAGATGAGTACACAAATAGATGGATACATCAGCACGAACAATGTCAGTGATCATATAGCTGTCGTATGACAGATACAAGGAACACCATGATTCTATTCACAAATTTCGCATTATCGAACTTCATTAGTCAAAGATGAGTACACAAATAGATGGATACATCAGCACGAACAATGTCAGTGATCATATAGCTGTCGTATGACAGATACAACGAGGACGATGATTCTATTCACATATTTCGCATTATCGAACTTCATTAGTCATAGATGAGTACACAAATAGATGGATACATCAGCACGAACAATGTCAGTGATCATATAGCTGTCGTATGACAGATACAACGACGACCATTATGCTATTCTGCTATGTCGTAGCTGACTGGGCAAATAGCGTAGTGTGGGTTGTTAGGGGGATTGACACATGAGAAAGGGCGGTGTGCTAGATCGCATTGTTGTGGAGTGGTACGGACAATTTCCGTATTCAGATATTGCGGATTGTTAGTGTGGATGCGAGAGAGATAGTGTCAGATATAGACTGAAGCATGATACCGTAGGAGGTGATTGCTCACACGGCTGGTGAATGTTTCATATAAGCAGTTTATTCAATTATTTTGCGTTTTGTGGTTCTGAAATAGTAATTGCGTTCGGAGGTAGATCGTTGTACTATCGGAAATGATTTAGTGTCACAGGGCTGATGAATGAGTCACACGATGACCACAAGAACACTGATCTGCTACAGGAAAATAAGATATTCGAGTGAAAGTTAAAAGAAGCGGGATGGAACTAAACTGGATGAAGCTTGTAGGAAAGGTTATGGGTTCTATATATAGGCAAGATAATTTTTATGGCTATACAGAAGACGGAAGCTGTATGACTGATGTTGGTTTGTACATTGATCTTGTACAGTTTCGTTTATCAATCACTCATCTAAAAGTGATTATTGTTGTCTTTGATTGCTGATATATAATTTGGATCAAGTCGCAGTTATTTCATTGTTATAATATTGTTTTAGCTGTCTCAGTGTTTATTTAACTTGTTGCATTATGCAAACGGTAGCATCTGCCTCTCACTGTAAAGCAAAGTTGGAATCCTGCCGACCAACGCAGGAGTTTGCGAAAATCCTGTGATTATTAGTTATTTCCAGTAGGTTTTTGCAACAAGTTGCGTTACCGAAAACGTTCCTCCGCGTTGTCAAATATATTTCGCAGGACTTTTTACTGTGCTAACCCTGCAAAATCTTTTGCCCTCTTCTTATGACTTGTAGCACGCCAGATATCTTACTACGCTTACCCTATAAGATTTGCATGATTTTATCTTGGAGAAAAGGAACAGTAGATCGCAGAAAAAGTGGTTACATCGTCGACGTCAAAGTAAACATAGATAAGAGATGTATTGTTACTATATATGGCTCATATATATCAAGCATCATTTTCTTTTCTAATTGTATGTACTTGTTCACAGACAGTAAATCGTCGTGTTTCGAAAGATTATTTATTATGAAACTAGTAATAACACATTTAAAGCAAAAAGAGAACGTTTCTTTTATAGTTCATTCTACCGTCATTCTGTTTAGGCTTTCTTAGAGCAAAATATCTCAAACAAAATCTTATGAAATTTTTGCCGAAAACATATATGGTAATTGACATTTTAAACACTGTATTATTTGTGCTAATGTTTTTTGTTGATCTGCAGCTCAACAAATAGCAGCAAACGAGCTTCTGCTGTTTTATCATGGCTTCCAGCACTGAACTTGTTTGTTCACTAGGCTGCTAAGCAGATTGCTCATTAAAGTGAGCCCCCATGATCTCGTCGAGAATTTTTTTTGGAATGCATACTTTGTCAAAAATTACTTATGGATAAAAATATTCTCATTCAATTCGGCATCACGTTTAGCCTTAGAAATCTCAGTCTCACAGACAATTGTTTTACTGGATATACTGTATGCCAATGATGACAGCAGTGCTAATTGTTATAGTATTTTGACCTTTTTCTGTAAATACTTAACCACTTTTCTCGTGCCATATATCATTTGATAGAGTATTAACTTCTGAACAAGATGTTACATAATATGTGTTTTTGTTAAGTTAAATCACCTGTCCAAATCTCCACAACAAAAGCAGGATCTAACAAAATAAATCAGTGAGGTCCCATGTGTAAAATCGATCTTCTACTACAAAAATGATTTGTCGCACAAATTTGATTTCCTATTATGCACAAAACCGTCTGTAGGCTCAAGTTTGAGAAATACTTCCTTCATAGCGAGAAATTGGAAAAAGAACCGCCTCAAGATAAGCCTGTATTAAATTGTTCGTTAAAGTATAAAAGAGTAAGGATTCGGTGGAGAAAGTGAAATTCTTGTTTTTCGTTTTTCTTGATTCAGCTGAAATGAAGGTCTAAGCTTTTTCTAGTATTCTCGCAATAAAGTTTTCTTATCCTAATAAAATTCTCGTTGAAAAAGTAGAGTTCCTTTTCTCGTGGGATCCAGACGGTGTTGGCAAGTGAAATGTTAGGTTTGACATAAAGAAATTTTTTCTTACCTTTTTCGGTTTTAACAATTGCTAGTGTTTCCTTTTGAAAAGGAATTTTCGATGCTGCCGATGCAGCAATGGTAGGGTTCTGTTGTTGAATACCAGCTCTGTCGAATGGTGGTTCTAGAAGAAGAGAAGATGGTTTTTGTTTCTTTAAACGGGTATTGCGAAGGCTATTAGCAATTGAGATTCCACCTTCTATTTTAAAATAGGAATGTGTTCGATGCGATTTCACGCAGCTTTATAGAAACGCTGAATGAGAGCGCTGTTTTTTAAGCATAATTGATGAAGGTCCACGTTTTGTGATCTCAAGAGATTCTGTACTTATCATAAGAAAATCCAAGGAAATATATCTGATCATTTTTATGACATTTTTTTCTCTTCTGATTTCTGACTGCAAAATTTGTTTACTTCTTTTCACCTAATAAACGGCCGTTAAATGAAATTTGTTTTAAAGAATTTAAATACCAGCCACAGGGAGTATTTACTAGCTTTTTTGGGATTTATAGACTTATCGTTTCATTTTTTTATTCCATTTAATGTTCATTAGTCTGGACATTTCTTTCAGTTGTTTTTGTTTTGTTTACTTTGAAATGTCTTTTGGCTTATAATTGTTTTGTAAACAATAATAATTCCAAGTCAGAAGTAAAAAAATGAACTCACTTGCACAAGTAGAAGATGACTGGAAAATGCTTCTCGGTTAAAATCAGAGGCGATTTTTCTAGCAGTACCTGTACAAATCCGCTACTGATTTTGTGGTTAAAAATCGATATAAAATTACGCGTCTTTTTCTCTATACTATCTTCTACTTACTAGCGTATTTCCACTACAGAACGCATTGACTTTCTGAGTGAAATGTTATGTTGAGATTCATAACGGTGGCATCTATAGAGAAACGAACCAGTAGGTAGAAAATATCTTCATCATGCAGTGCGAAAAAATTCCTAGATAAACGGGTCTTCCATGATTCTCTCAGAGAAAATAATCCGCATCGAAATATTTTTGACATTTTTATGTAGACAAACCCTTATAACAAACTCAACTTCACACGACTAAAGGGTATTCTCAGTAACATAAAAAGGGTTTTCGAATCTCCGAGAACTCTCTACACGTTTCATGCAGTGACAAACTCAGAAATGTTTGAAGAACGTTTTCAATTCGTGTTACTAAGTTTTTACTATACATTTTCTTCTTGTCAACTTTTAAGTACTAGGAAATAAGAGTAGCGCTACCTTGACCTCTTGACAGTTAAGCGGTCAACACATAAAAAGTCTTGGTCGTCTGATTTTTCCTGAAGATAAAAGTCTTATTAGAGAATCTGATTTTTCTCTGACTTTTCCATTACTCATAAAAAGCTAAGGAAAGCAGCCCATTTTCGATCCTCAGTAGATTTTATATACTGAAACGGTTTACGAGGATACTGTTTATGTTTCCGAAGCTTTTCTTAAAACAGAAAGGTGTTGTCCTACGCCCGTATCGGTTTTTGAAAGAGTTTTAGTTTCTGCGAAATTGCTTTTCTTTTAAAGAATATAGCTACCACCGCTCCCGTTAAGCCTATCTGTTTACCAAGCTGCACTTAGTTACTACTTACTATCTTCCACATTTGCTTCCTGGAGAGAAGCTTCTTGTACTTTGATCTTTTTAATCCATTCAGATTGTTGTTTATCCACTGCGATACAGATGTTCGATTGTTTGGTTAGTTCATCTTTTAGTTCTTTTAGCTGAGTCATCCACATGTTGAGATCTCTTTCGTCGTAATCGTCATCTTTTTGACCTTTACGAGCCTCATTCGTTATTTTGCGAAACCTGTTAATCAGTTGATCCTTATTTTTATCCAGCAGTTGGTTAACGTCAGTCCGGCACTGATCAGCAAGTTGATTAATTTTATTGATCGAGTCTTTTTTCCATTCATCAATCTGTTTCAACAAATGGTGAGGTCCATTTTCATTTGGAGTTTCCAACTGTTGTTTGAGCATATCGTGCTCGTAAACAAACTGATCGAGTTCTTTTGACAATTGTTGGCGGTGATCATTGTAACACCCTCTACACAGTTTTGATGAACAGCCTTCACACGTGATTGCAGCAGCATTTTTTACACATTTGGGACATTTAACTTTTGATGTAGTCGTCATTTAAAAGCGCAATGAAGTAATGGTTCTTCTACGAGAAAAAGCATACTCTGTTTCAGTCTCATATCAACGTTAACAATAATGATCCCAGCATAGTGTGAATTAACAGTTCGAAAGCATTAATTTGTGTTTGTGTTTTACCTAATGTATAAAAGAATTTGTGTGTTACACACGTGTCAATTTAGATTTTTTCACATTTGACGCTGATTAAAAAAGGTAAATATTTTCATAAGAATAAAAGAAATTCCTTTTCCTGTAGATTACAATCATGGTTACCTTTCTACAAGAGAACAGAACAGCCACAATTTGCACACAACTTTCTTTCGTGCCTGTGCAGACCCAACAATTTACCTGTATTCCACGAAAATACTTAGAATTCGCCGATTCGCGCTAATTCTCACTGCAACAGAATCTTTTGTCAAAAAGGGCGGGGGTCGATAAGAGGCAAAATCGGCCCCCTCCAAGATCAAGCTCATATTCACCAGTCTGATGTAGTTTTTCTCGCTGATTAAAACTAGCATCTCAAAAAAACCATTTTCAGCCCCCTGGCAAAAATTCCGCATCCAAACTTTTCTCCCCTTTAATGAACTTTATTTAGAATATTTTCCCAGTTTCTCCTCCTTACCCAAAGAAAACCTAAACTACTGTACATCACTCGATAGAGAATTTCGCGGG